TATATAATTAAGTAAGAAACTAACGTACGACGTAACTAAGTACGTATAGTACGTAGTATATATATGTATAATATATATATATATATATATATATATATATATATATATATATATATAGTTCGTACTCTCAGGAGCATGTAAACTCGGTGCGAATTGTGTAAAATTTGTAATGTAAAAGTCACTTGATACTGTCCGAAATGAATTAAAAGAAGGTTTTGTTTAAAAATATTGCTTTTAATTACTCTTAATATATATTACATACTGAGCCGATATGCGTGCTTACCAAAAGTGCTATATGTTGTTAAGGCCACGTGAGTTTCTATCGGCAAATGCTGACAGGCAATATTTATGTTATACTACCAAAACTTTACTCTCTTTTTTAAGGCTAACTGATTTGATTGATGTTTCCCTTGTCAATTGTCATTCCAGTTGTCGGTGTCACTTGTGTCACGGGCGTTCGTGAAATTTCCGTAATAGCTGCCACAAAATCTTCGTGGGACCACCCCGTGGTTGGATCAGGAACAGAAACCAATTTTCACATTTAAAGAAGTTGGGGGGATGGTACAACTTTATAGAGTAAAATAACTCATGTTTATTACTGTCTGTAATAAAATATCGAGAAAGCTACAAAATAGGACACATTCTATTCAACTAACAGGAAGCCAAACGATATGTGCACCGTTTAAGGGCCACAGTTGTTACAGCTATTTAGAGTTTTACGGTTCAGCCCCCGGATCAAGGCTGAATGTTGTGTACATTTCGAACTTTGGAGAACAATTCGGCAAAACGTCACGAAAAAATACCGAATCGTATAAATACCCCTACTCGTTGATGAACTTCTAAATTCAATCACACAAAATTACATTAGATTAAAATTAACTCAAAATTTATTCAAATTTAATCCTTTGAATGGTGATTGATGAACAAAATCATGAAGCTTGAATTCGGCTTAAAATTCCAGTGTAGCATGAAAGACACATATGGCAAACGCTCCCCCTGTACATTGTTCATGGGCAATAATGGTTAAATCACTTTGCACGCCTATGTCCATGCTCAGTGTACAGTGGGGGACGTTTGCCATTTGGGGGATATCTATTATGCTACACCGTACAATACTCAATAATGCGAAAGGGTTACCGTAGTGGAGCGTGCTTAGAAGAAATCCTAGCGTTAATTATATTATGTCGCAAGCATGAATATATGAAGTTTAGCGGAAAGTTTGGTATTGTTGCTTGCACAGATTAACGTCGGCTCGCGGTTAATGTCTTGTCAGGAGGCAGCTTCGGTGTTATTTCGGCTTAAACCCGATTGCCAGTGAGCGTTGCTGTGTGTGCTGAACGAGTGAATTAATGCATGGAGGTAATAGCTAACAGTAGCTTGTAAATACATATCCTCACTAGTACCTAGCAAGTTAGATGACAAAATTGCTGCAGCTTCACGTTGTTGCAACGTGAGAATTTTGTTTAGGATTTTTTATTAGTCTTTAGTAACACAACACCGATATCGAATCATCTGTTTATTAACACGTCCGCAATGTAACTGAATGAAGAGTTAATCTACTGAGAAATATTACTTGTTTTACGTCACCTGCTATTAAAAGGGGGGGGGGAGAATCGTCAATGCTTTCCAAGAACCAATAATACTTGTTTCAGTTTATACGCGTTGCCTTAAATGTCAAGTGAAATTCGCGAGCGGAAAACATGCATCGTAATAAGACGTCAAGTTCTGTTCTTCAACGTGGCTTGGCTTTCTCGTGACTCGGCGCTTTAGCATGAAATGGTTTAGATTTTGTGTAGGCGGTTCTTTAGCCGGCTTACTAACAAGGCAAGTCGACCTGTAATTATAGACAAACTGCAGCCGGTCTGACCTTGGAAATGTTTGGTTGATTTTGCCCAATGAAGACCTGTTGAACTTTTTAGTCTGGTTTCTCGCTCGCACGGCGTTACTTAGGCGTCCCGAATATGATTACACAAGACAATGATCCTTTTATCCCCGGACGGTTTAACAGAAAAAAAAACTCGCATCGAATAGTAATTGTGGCTTTATCGCCACAGACACGTGAGATGCTTAGCGTTTTTGCACGCGCGTGATGATTCGCGATGTCAGAGTCTTTGCTAAAAACCGTCGCAAACCCAACCGCATTTGGCTTGTAAACGCGCGGCGAGACAGCGGCAGTTCTTGGCACCGCTAGCCTGAAGGTGTTTCTGTTTCAGCGTAATTGGCGCACGTCCTGCTTTCTTACTTCTCCTAGCCTTCCCCGCCGGCAGTCGTGAAGCTGATTCCGGAAACAAATGCGCGCAGGTCTGCGCCGTGATGCAGACTAAACAATCACGCTATTGGCCAATATCCTAGTGATTTTAACTGGATGCTCGGAGATTGTGTAACGAATGCATTTTAACTTCAAGTCGCAGTTTAACTAGATACGGTTACGGTACATATTACCAAGTTAAAGTCTTACCTATCTGGTTTACCATTATGTTGTTATTTGTATTATTAAATAACAATATGACTATATAACATATGGTTGTTGTTCTGCTTAATAATAATAATATTGCTATTGATATAATAATAATAATAATAATTATTATTATTATTATTAATATCGTCATCATCATCATCATCATCATCATCATCATCATCATCATCATCATGTATTATTATTACAGTTGTTGTTACCATTATTATTGCCATGTTTACATACACATACTGGGTCTAGCCCTGTGAACTGGTGGTATTGAAGGAGCTGTCGTGTAGGTTAATCTTGAGGTGCATAGGACAGCGGGAGAAACTATCGTCTAAATTGCGTTATTTAAAAGCATTTCGTTTGCACTATATTTCTTAATGGGATTTATAATGACTTAGTAGCAACAATCGCCGCAGTTATGAAGTCGAGCTTTATCTCTCATCGGTTTACCCTAGGCGTGATCAGATGTTTGAAGTTTGATTTTGTTAACAGAGTAATTTTCTTAATAATTCTCTCTCTCTCTCTCTCTCTCTCTCTCTCTCGCTATATGTATATATAGAGTATGTGTATATATGTATATGTATATATAGAGTATATAGATATGTATATATTATATCCAGATGGTTGTTTATGAACTCGTGTGTCGAGAGTGCTCAATACTACCATGAGCAGAGCAAATATAGATAAAGTTATACGGACACGGTAGTAATTTTGACTCTGTTTATTGCATACAGAACTGTTTCGTGTGGAGCGAAAGCTCATATGTCATATGTATATATAGTCCATGTATATATGTCTTTCTATTTTTTATATATATATACAAAAATAAAAAGTAAACCACGACATTAAGTTGCCTTTGCGGAATTAGTGCATCATGAGCAATTGCTATTAACAGATGCGACAAAGCCAGCATGTGTCCCCCGCTTCCATACATGGTGTGTGACCCAGTACGCGACTCTATGTGGAGTACATACATAGACAGGCTGGCGTTGAATGCGGGCGATCCGGTGCAATAAATAACTGAGGACACCATTACGCCGGAAATTTTACTCATTATTTTTGGCAAATTGCCGCGGTGAAAACCCGCCTTAATTACAGCGATGGCTAGATAACAAATGACTGTACAGCAGCGCGGCGAACATCTCGTTTTTACCAGCGATCGGGTTTTTAGAGTTTTAGACTGGCCGCGCGCGCGAGAGAGAGAGAGAGAGAGAGAGAGGGGAGGGAGAGACAATGCCCTTATTGTGTACGGACTTCGGCCTTTGGCTCACAACGGCTCTCCTTATGTTCGATCGTAAATAAGGTGCTCGTTATGTCGCCGTACGGCGTTAGAAAAACACATCTACTCCATGGTCAGCTGGCGCGTAATTATACGATGAGCGCGGACGCGGTGGGCGCTTACGCGGCACGATGGTTAGCGCGAGACAGGTAGACCCAAACACTCACCCGTAGTACACACACACGCACACGCACACGCACGCACGCAGCCAAAGCGCCTGCGCCCGTCTGGCACACCGATCGACCTATGATCGTCCCTTGCCCAACCTGCCTTCCAATCAGCTGCCGATTCGCGCTCATTCAATTACGTAGCACGGAAAAAAGTTGCGCGCCGTATTTTTTCGCCGGCGCTGCTCCGATGAGACTCCTACTGCTGCCGCTCACAACGTTAATTACTGCCTATCGGCACAGAGACGCTACACGGATATAGGTGTGCTGAGACGAATGCTGTTGTCAAATTGGATATATACGTATAGCTAATGAGAGGATACGCTGGACGACGGATATAAGGTTAGTGACACTTCACGTTATACGCGCTGCATTTCGGAGTCTGGCTCTTTCCGCGTGCTTTTTTAAGGACATCGCGATAGTTCGTTGCAACGGATTAACTGAAATGCCGGTGTGGTATGTTAAATAATTTTCCTTAACACGCAAAATGCGGCACGTAATCTATTTTTGTTCATGTAATAATTCGCTTCGGGGTACGCGCTTTCGTAGATGTGAAATATAATTGTAATGAAGTCATTGTTAAATCTGTACTTTTGTAGGATCCTGCAAG